TTCGGAGGGAAGGGGGGAAAGGTTCTCAGCCAAAAATTCCTATCCATGCCCCCTGCCTGAAACCGAATTTAAAATAAGTTTAGATAAAAATTCTTCAATCACATAACACCCTTCCTAATCTAGATACCGAGTTTAGTATCCTATACGAAACGGGAGATTTTCTATATGAAAAAACTCCAGGATATCCTCACGAAACGTTCCAAGAAGCATCATTCTTCGTGACACAGACAGTCCTGAAACATTACCAGGTTCTGTTGAGAATAAGAACGTAATAATACTAGGTGTGCCACAAAGAAAAACATGACTGGCCCAATAAGCCATTGTACATACATAATCAGTCCTCCGTGAGATTATCACTATCAAACTAGTTATATATATCTTCAGCATTCACACACTTCTGCATTTGGTGCTGCCACTGCAGGTGACGGTTTTGGAATGAGGTTTTTGGAAAGCCCCTCAGGAGATTCTCCGTTTTTGCCTGATCCTCTTCACTAAGGTAAAATGGGTTTCCTTTACGCAAGTTTTCACTGTAGGAAATAATAAAAAGTCGCATGGGGCCAAATCAGGCGAATAAGGAGGATACCCCAGCATAGTAATGGTGGGGTATCCTCCTTCGCTTTTCAGAAACTGTTTGACAGATAGGGCCATGTGAGCGGATACATTGTCCTTGTGCAACAGATATTCATCACTCCCCAATTCTGGCCTTTCCCCCTAATTTATTCACGAAGTGTTTTTAGTATTTCAATGTAGTAGCATTGATTAACAGTCTGAACACTTACGTGAGTGAGAACCTACTCATCTCACGAATTTTGGCAATGTTTTGGTCTGTAATCGCTGACCTTGGGTGCCCAGCCCGTTCATCATATTCCACAGTGTCCCTTCCCCCTGAAAACGGCTTATACCATTAAAACACATGTGCACGAGACAAAGTTTCATTTCCATAAGCCTCGGTTAGTATTTTAAATGTTTCCGTGGCTGATTTCTCAAGTTTCACAAGAAAATTGTTGTTAATTCGTCATTTTCCCGGTAGAATGCACTAGAAGATGTTCACTCAATGATGCAATGCTCCCAACCGGCGTGATCAATTAAAACGAAGCTAGCCAGATGGATAGAGGAAGTGTGTGGGGTAATGTCACTAAAACAGTTGTTGCCAACTTCTCTATTTTTTCAAGTTACACAGTTAATCCCAGTATCTTTTTGTGCCACACAGTTTGTAAGCAGAAAACAAAGTTAATGATATGTGGACACAACTAAAAGATTGTACATTCACAGCCATGCTGTAAATAAAATCGCCTTCTTTGACTGACTCTCCACTCCCTAACCGTCAAATAAGATCAAAGAATAACCATGAAGAGAAAGAGCATCACGAAAAAATTGAGTAAAAAATATTTCTCTGCTTATCACGTTTCAAAACTATCACTATTCCTTAGAAATTACGCTAAAACTGGATTATTTTGAAATTTCAAGAAAAGCAGCGGCAGTTGTACTCTTACACACACGCATAAAGCTAGACCAAAATTACACACACACACACACACACACACACACACACACACACACACACCACACACACACACACACACACACACACACACACACACACACACACACACACACACACACACACACACACACGTCCAGCTTGGAGTAAGTGAGTGGATATTAACGTCGCATTGTTCAACTATATATATATACACGAGAGCTTTTGGCGACGGACCTCGTAATTTTGAACCATGGACAAGTGACGAGAACGACACTTTAGCTGGCACCCTCTCTTCTAACTACCACACCACGCCACCATTTGAGATCCGACAGATTTAAAGTGTAAATCTCCTCTACATGTCAGGCACTTGGCTCGAACTCATGATACCCGGCCACGAGTCCGTTACTTTGACCGCTAGATTACCGCGGCCACCATTCAGCTTAGAAATTACCAATCTTATCTCTTCCCTTCCTATTCTCTACAAGCTTTCTGAGGAAGGGACTTAATTAGATAAGGCACACATGTACCCTTCCTCTAATAACCACAATATCATGATACCAAAGCAACAAGCAACATGGCTTTTGATCTCAATTATTTGCGTTTCATCAGCTACTCTAAGCAATTGAATTTATAGAAACTGAATTTAGTATAAGCGAGCTGATTGGCTGAAGCGAGCATCATCTAGAATACCCTCATTAATTAACCTAATCAACTCCTATTTATCAGAGCGCAATTTCTCGGTTAAAAAGTCCTAGATGTTTTTAAAAATTTAGAACAAGCTGAGTTTTAAACTTTTCATGTCTTAAGTTTCAAATCGTAAAAATTTTTACTAGGTTCGATTTTCTTTAATGTCTAACTGAACGACTTACCAGTAAAAAACAAATGATTTTATGCATGTAGACAAATGAAATGGTGAAATTAGTCAAATACAAAATATCCGAGAACTATAACTTAGGTATTCAATATGTACTTAAATGAATTAGAAGACTGATAATCTGAGTGTATGTGGAAATTCGAGTTGATATGTTGCCAAAACAGAGGATGCTTTTTTTTCAAGAAAAATAAATATCTCAGACATCTGCCTATATAAAAGAATATCAAAATCTTCTGATCCCTTCTTGTATTCTTAAATATTTTAACTTCTGGTTAAGTATAGAAATTTTTTAAGGCATCATAGTAGTCCAAGTTTGCAAGGCTACAAATTCTAACAGACATCCCGCATGTCGGTTGTTTTAGATAATAAAGCATCTAAGGTGGGGAAAAAAGCCCTCAGTTTTAAATTTGCTTATTCTAAATGTTATAAATGCAAATAAATTCTAGCAAATGACAAAAAGCTCCCTTGCAACGCACTGCTTAATAGAATTACAATATTTTCAATACAGTGTACAAGGCTTAGATAATATCACTGAACGGAAACTGGGCAGAGAAAATTCAATATTATATTAAGAAATTATATTTGTATGTAAATAATACAAAATCTCATAGCTATTAGATCTTTTTTAGAACGACAGTCTATTTAAAATTTAGAATTGCCATACTTACATCTCATTCACTGCGCATTCTAAAACTAATAACTAACTGAAACTATTGTTTCCACAAAAACTTTCGAATAATTACTTGGGCCTGCAATCCAGATAATAAATTAGCGATTCTAATCACAAATATGTAATCAAGAACAGATGATTATAAATGAGCGGTAACTAATCGACTTTTAATTTATCCTAAAATGGTTGCTTCGCATGCATGAGAAAAGGCAGCTGATTTGAAATTCACGAAAATAATTACAAAAAAATATTATGGATGAATGCGTGATATCTCGCTCATTAGTAGCTTTATTATTCAATGAGCACTAAGAGCACGAAACTAATGTTGGTAATTAAGTTGAAAAGTTAGATTGCTATATAAAAACATAATATTGATTTTTCTAATGAAAGTCAAACGATTCAAAAGAAAAAAGGTCATTGTTAATGTTTATTTGGAATCTTTTGTTTTAAGAGAATGAAAACAAGGTTTTTTTTAAAAATTTTATGTATTTGAACTTTAACTAATCATGATTTCCAAATCATAATTTTTCATTAAGTTTTTTTTTTAAAAAAATATTGTGTTTTATTTAAAAACCAAGATTTTCATCAAAAACGGATTTTGAAATCGAGACTTCATTGCTAAGATTTCTTAAAATGTATACTTGTTTTTGGAAATTGAGTTTCCTGTGTTTGTAGAAATGTTTAATATGTTTTTATTTTAAAGTATTTACGTATCTATTTACATTTTTTCCATTTTCGAAAGTTTTATTATTTCTATATTAGCGATTTGCTCGGGAAAATTCGAAAGTAACGTTGTATCAGTTTTTTTCCCATTCCTACTCTCTATTAGTTCACTCTCTCTTTCTCTCTATATATATCCTGTTCAAATTTTCAATTGTGTTAATAAAATACTCTCTATTAATCCATTCAAGCTCAAATGCTTATATTTAAACTTGTAGTGGATGACACTTGATGTTAATACAGTATTCATTCATTAATTAAATTAAAAACACGAATAACTACTAGCAAACAAACAAAAAATTACCCAACAGCATATATAGAAAGGAAAATCTTTCGTTGTGTCCCTGTAGCGCGGTGGTGTGTCTATAGAGGACGGGGTTAGAGCGGACACGTACGATTTCGTGGGCAGAGTGGACACTCCGAAACTCATCATGGTTAGAGTGGACACATCCCCCCCCATCTTAGAGCAGATAAAGGGTGTAGATAAATTAATAAATACTTTTAAAAATCACAAATATATTTTAAAATAGTGTTTTAAGTGGCAAATCACTTTCATGTGAGATAACGTTTTTTTACCGAAGTTTTCTGTTTCTGCACTCAATTAAAAATAAGCCTTTCTCCCCTCCTTACATAAAACAGTCTTGGCATTGGAGTATGTTGGTATTTTAGTAATGAGAGAGAGAGAGAGAAATCTTAACCTTTCCGATATAATTCTAAGAGTTCTTGAAATATCTGGGGAACGGGACCTGATATTTCATCTCTGACTCTTTTTCTGCAAGTCTCTAACTTCCTTTTAATTTCGATCTCAGGAACATTGGACACGCAGGAATGCTCAGTTTTCTTCAATACTTCCTATTGAAAACTTGTCTTTACATTTCCTTTACAACGATATGTCTTTTCTTTTTCACATATCCAAATCATTCTTAATTTATTTTTTCGGTGTAAACGGTGTGGGTAATCATCTACAACTGAACATTTTTTCAATTTTTTTGTAGAGAGTAATTCTGTTGAAATGGCTATGGGTTTCATCGCAGATTTTTTTAACGATATAAAACGACATACACACTTCATAAGGATCAAACATTTACTGAGAAAATGAGAAAAACCCTCTCAAAAGTATCGGCTTATCTCTACAAAAGGTACAGAGCTCGAAATTACACAATAGTGACTGATTAGGGAATCAAAACAATATGAGTAAGAATGTCAACTCTGCCCACCCAGCTCCCCTCACGTGTCTGCTGTAGCCCCTCCCCACTCTGGTCACATAACCTGTAGCGTAATGGACTTCTAATCCATAGGTCGTGGGTTTGAATCCCGCCTGGGATGGCCTAATTTCTGAGAATGGGATTTATTTTTTACTGTACTATTTTATTGGAATAATTAAATTAAATTTAATGAATAAATAGTAACAAAAATAGTCCAACACCATATATAGAAAAGAAAATGGAAAATTGCAAGGAAAATCACTGTTTATTTTGGCACTTAATATTGTGATTCTGTCATATGTATATACATATTTATATTAATTGTAAATATTTAATAAAAAGTAACTAAAATAAAATTTTCTTTGCTGTCCTAAGTAGGAATTGACATAATAAAACTTTTTTTATATTACTTGTTTTTTATTTTATGAGTTAGGATGAAAAGTTTAAGTGCTTGTCACACATATTGCATTCAAATAGAATAATCTATTTTTGAGACAGTTAGTAAAAATTGCTGAGAATCATCATTAGGCTACAGAAATTTAAATATAGTTGATTCTGGAGAGTTTTGAGACCACATTTGTAGAAGCTATATAAAAAATAATCAAGCACGTTATCTAAAACACAAAAATGAATCATTGTCATTTTTTAAAAAGTTTTCATAACGTACATCATATTTTTTTAAAATCCTTACATGATTGGATTAATATGATTACACTAGATATTTTTTTAGTCTAATCTACCACAAATAATAATAATAAAAATATTTCAGAATCTAAAAACTTTAAAATTAATCTTTGATCTCCTTGGATGTCTCTTTGTCTAACTAATTTGTACATAAAAAGCTCCTAAGATGTTCTTTTGCTTTCTCTAATGTTTCTGCTTTGCATTATTTAAAAAATTTCTGATGCAATGAGCTACTGTTTTTTGCTTCTTAAATTCTAGGCAGTCAATGAGAGCACTGTCTTCTAAAACTTAATGCACTTCAATGGGCTTATTGCTCTTCTGTGTCAAGGAACTTAAAAATTCTGCTTATGTGAGACTGGAGTAATTTTTTAAATATTACTCACTGTACCAAAATATATATCTGTCTTCTGCGTCATTAAAATTGATTAATGCTTTTGAAATTAATATAATGAAATTATGAGCCCCTTCGTTACGTTTCGAGAATATACGCATTACATTAACATAAAATTCAAATTTATAAGTATAAACATTTCATTTGAGTGCTATAAAGTATATTGCTAAATATTTTAAGATCACGCGAGGATTTCTGTGTAAGCATTTAGATACTTTTATTTCAGAACTAATATTTATCGAATACAAAGTTTAATAATTAAATTCTAAAAGGAATTTTTTGTAGCTGTTTTTATTAACCAAGAAAGTAACGTATGTTGTCTTGTGATAAGTTAATTGTAAACAAGTTTGTTTTTGTGTCTTCGGGTTCTCATGTCAAGCTTCACAAATGTCAAGAGTACTCATAAAATAATTTTGTAATTATATTTTTTACTTGTACTTTTTTTTAAAACGAGGTTGAATTTCATTGTTTCTTATAGCTCGATAAAAATTCTATTTTTTTTCAAACTCAGTCAGAGATTGAAAGTTCTAATGTTTTTTAAATGGCGTTATATGTTAAAAGTAACATCTAACGTACTAAATGTTGAATTTTACATTTGTTTTAAAATGGTTTAAATGCGAGAAAGCAAATTACTTTATAAGGAGATAATATAACAATTCACATTATTTCATGCAATTAATACTGATAAATAAGAACTTTACAATATACAAGGTACAATTTAATGCTTACTAATTGTTAATTAGTTTCCAATAATTTTTATATCGCGGTTAACGCTAGAAAAATATGTCCTCGTCACTTCACTTGAATAAACTTCAAAACTACGAGGTCCATTGGCAATATCGCGCTAGAGCAGTTTCAAAGTGCAATGTTATATATATATACACTCATGTCCATAAATTAAGGCTAATGAAGTTCAGGCAAAGAAAGAGAAAGAAGCAAAACAAATTTGACTTATTTGTAAAGTCTATTTATTAAACAAAAGGTAAAGAGCAAAAAATATACCATATGTTTGACATAATTAATAAAAATTGCGATTTTTACTCCCTGGAGCAAATTTCAAAAGAGAACCTATTTACAAAAAACAGTATAACATAGTTAGTATGATGGTTAATACGGAGTATGTCTCCCGTACGATGCAATACAGGCCTTACAACGCCTACGCATGCTGAGTATCAAATTATCAATCTGATCTTGGGGAATATTACACCACTCATCAAGCAATGCCCTCCGAAGTTTCGGTAGAGAGGTGGGAAGGGGTTGTAGGGCTGCAGTTCGTCAGCCAAGCATATCCCATACATGCTCTATTGGATTCAAGTCCGGTGAGTATGCTGGCCAATCCATAAGTGTGATATCCTCCGATTGAAGGCATTCGTCTACAATGTTTGCACGGTGAGAACGGGCGTTATCATCCATAAACAGAAATTCAGCACCCATGGCGCCCCGAAACAAACGTACATGTTGCTGCAGAATGACATCCCTAGAATAGATGTGGCCTGTCATCGTTACACTCTGAACATGCAGGTCAGTTCTGGAACCAAGAATAATTCCTCCCCAAACGAGCCATCCTGCACCACCGTAACGGTGTCGTTTAATGGTGTTCTCTTGGTGGTAACGGGTACCTGGCGCTCTCCATATGAAAGTCCGGCGAGAATCAGACTACAAATTAAACTTGGACTCGTCGGAAAACATCACACAAGACCAGTTGCGGTATCCACAATGCATGCTCTCTACTCCAGGTTAATCGCAGGCGACAGTGAGTTGCGGTAAGGGGAACACATCTGACAGGTCTATGAGCATATATACCAATGCTCCCTAAGCGTCTGTAAACGGTCTGCCTTGAAACTGTTATACCGGTAGCTGAAGAGAGCTGACGAGATAGGTCTGATGCTGTGCTCCGTCTGTTTCTTTTGGCAGTAACTGCCAAATACCGGTCCTCATTCGGCGTTGTAACTCGGGGGCGACCTGTGCTGTAACTTCTACTCACATTACCATCATCTTGGAATCGTTGCCAAAGCCTGGAGATGACACTCTGGGCGATTCCAAGTTCCTCGGATACTTCCAGCTGGGTACGTCCACATTCCAGTCGTCCGATAATTCTACCACGTAAAAAATCATCCAAATGCTTTCTTTGTGCCATAACTATGCGGTTATTGCACTGAAAGGCTTTTAAAGCGCATGTGAACAATTTTACTTTTTTGCCACCATTCCTTATACATATACCCCTCTCTTATACTCTCGTCATTGTGACGTACTATCCGCGACATCTGGTGGTTTCCTGTAATTTGCATATTCTTCTTCAAGATGTGTGTGATAATTCTACAGGTGAAATTTTTATTTTAGAGTTCAATTTCTGTGTGATTCTGAATTATCCTTAATTTATGGACATGAGTGTATTTGGTAATTCTAACTAAAAATGCCTTTTACGATTTATTTAGATTAGAAACGAATCCGAACTATATAAAACTTAGGCTATCATTTGTGAATTACCTTATTTGACAAGTTTTATGCAAATGGCAAATAAATAATTACTTAAAATTACTTGAAAGTGTTAAATCAATAGTTTTAACAAATGTAACTAAATATTTTTACTATGTAAATTAAATTTATTTATAATAAGTCATAGTAAATGTTTAATTTTCTGGAAAGGGTAAATTGAAAAATATTAATGAAAAAAAAAACATTATCGATCTTAAAAATCAAGCTAAATACACTCACTTCCAAAAGTTAAGCCCGGAGAGGAAAATTCTAATTCCCGGAAGCCAATCAGAATCGAAGAGAATGCAATTCGCTGCAGAGGTAGATGGAAGTATGAAAATATGTTTGGTAACAGCCATTCGTGCTTTCATGTCAAGAAATATGCAAAAAGGGCAGTCTTATAAGAAGCCAGCTTTACAAAGGGTTACAGGAAATGATTGTAAGTGCTGATAGGAGGTGTTTAAAACTTTCGTACAATTTGTTTTTAAGACATACGTGTTTCTATGACTTCAAGAAAACGATTGGAAGATTCTGAGAGCTGGAGTGCTGTGGGACGCATTGAAGCAGGACAGTCGATCACAGATGTTGCACTTTTCTTCGGCGTTCATTATTCTATAATTTCACGTTTATGGAAACAATTCCAAACAACACGGGCAGTTGTCCGAAGGCCTGTAGGCTGTCGCCCAAGGGTTACAACCCCCGCGGAAGATCGATATACTGCTATTGTAGCCAAGCGGAATCGCAGAGCGACCTCCACCCGTGTGACATCTATGGTTACAGCGTCCATTGGTAAAGCTATATCTGCGGCTACCTTACGCCGAAGATTACATATGAATGGACTGTATGCCCGGGTACCTCTAGTTTGTGTTCCTCTATCTGCGCAATCAAGAGGGGCACGATTAAAGTGGTGCCGGGAATATGGCAATTGGACTGTGTCTGACTGGGTCAATGTTATGTTTACTGATACATCAAGATTTGCTCTTCAGCCATATGACGAGCGTATAAGTATATGGCGTAAACAAAGAACACGCAATCAGCCCTCAAAACATCACCGAACATCACGCATTCCGAGGCGGACGAATTATGGTGTGGGCAGGGATTTAATTAGGATACCACACCGACGTGCACATCTTTAAACGGGGTTCTGTGACGGCTGTCCGGTATCGAGATGAAGTCCTGGAACCCATTGTGAGATTGTACGCTGCAGCAGTTGGCCCTACTTTTGTTTTAATGGACGATAACGCACGTCCCCATAGAGCTGACATGGTCGATGAATACCTGGAGAGTGAAGGGATTGCGCGTATGGCTTGGGCAAAATATTCGCCCGACCTTAATCCCATTGAAAATCTTTGGAATGCTCTCGGCCGTGCTGTATCTTCACGTTTTCCACCTACAGCCACTCTAATTGTGCTGGAAACTGCTCTACAAGAAGAATGGCGATTGTTTAATTCTGCGGTGGTTGACTACCTAATTGAAAGCATAGTCAGAAGGAGTAAACTTTGCATACAGATGAATGGGATCACATACCCTATTAATGTCCTTTTTTTCATTTTATGCCGTTTATTTTCACT